AATACCCCTCCATACTGTCACGCCACCACTACCAAAGGCCTCTCTTGCTTCCATACATTCTGCTCTACAGGGTGTTCCGAAACTATTGTGCCAAAAATTAAGGGATGATACATCTCGCCAAAATAAACGTTTTTTACTTATAAACCCATAGGCACATGCGCTTTGGTTAGGTGATAATAGCACATGACAGTCCGCGCTGTGGTAGCTACGTTGCGCACGAAGAAATGTGTTTGAAGCAGAAACTGTGTTATTAAATAGTATAGAAATCCCAGGAATGCTTGCAGTATTTATTAAAAACAAAGATTCACATCAGAAGATGCTCAAAATTACGACCACCCTCAATGCATGCGTAACAGCGCTATAGCACAGCCTGCTGAACACGCCGTTAAAAAATTCCTGGCGTTTCGCGAATTTCAGCAGCTGCTGCAACAATCCTTCCCACTAACTATTCCTTTGTTTCAACTGGAGTGTCGTTTTCACTCTCATATGAAATCATGAAAAAAAGTCGCATTCGGCCAGGTCTGGTGAACCTGGAGGCCATGCAATAGGTGCGCCCTTAACAAACACTCTTTTCAGTTTATGTTTCGTTGAGATGTTCCTTCACGGCTTACGAGTAATGTGGTGGACCTCCGTCGTTTTGGTACCACATTTTTTTTCCGGCATACAGGGGAACAATTTCTAACAGTTCGGGAAGGGTTTCCTGCAGTCGATATTTTTTCACGTATGCATTGGGGCGGGTGGTCGTAATTTTGAGCATCTTTTGATGTAAATAATTGTTGCTAATAAATACTGCAAGCATTCCTTGGGTTTTGTATTATTTAATAGCACAGTTTCTGATTCAAACACGCTTCTCCGTGATTAAGGTAGCTACAACAGCGTGGACTGTATTATCACCTAAGCGAAGCGCACGCGCCTATGGGTTTATAAGTAAAAAACGTTTATTTTGGCAAGATCTATCATCCCTTTATTTTTGGCACAATAGATTCGGAACACCCGTATATCTCTCACCCGTTTCTCTCCATACTTATACACGCCCGTCTTTCTGATACAACGTGAATCTACATTCATCCACAAACAAACATCTCTGCCATTCAGCTATACTTCCCAGTGTCTATGAAAGATTAGCCCAGTTTATCCGTGCTGTTCGATGGACTGCTTTCGATAGAGGACGAAGACATGCTGCTTGTCTTCTGGCTTCCAAATTTCTCTCGTGGAGACGTCTTCGAATTTTGATGCTTCAACTCCTACCGCTGTCCTTATAAAAGGATTCTGTTGTCATCCCGGGCAGAAGTAATTTTTGGTGTACCACCTGCATGTCTATAAGCACCGGTGCCAGTGTTATGAAAACGATCTAAAACGCCCTTTATTGTAGAGGGAAGCTTTACCATATATTTTCCCAATATTTCTTAAGGAGTAATCTAGTCTGGTTAACCTAAATCAATGAATAAATGAATACATTTATTTTTTATAATGGCTTGAATTGTGCTTTTACCTTATAATGTTCTCCATTTTATTCGGGGTTAGTCGTGACCCAGTGGCGAAACTTCAAATCCGGGGCCCCCCGCAAGGATTTTCCCGGGGCCCATCTTATATATAGGTACATATATTTTTTTTAAATTTGTCTTTATACAGAGTGTCCGTTTCAAGTGATACCACTACTGATATCTCCGAAACGGTAAGAGGGGCGAGGTCAGTTAAATTAGATTAAAGTGGCAAATTTTAGTATTCATTGAAGGTAAGTTCACAGGGTTGCCAAATCTTTGTGCATTTCTGAGATATAAGGGAAATGTCTCGGGAAATGTAAAAAACATTTAAAACCTATTCAATGAATATTTCAAAAATCTATCAACTTTAGAAAACAGTGTTCAATGCAAAAGTTCTAAGATTCTTTCTTCTCTACAAAATGGCGTTTGTTATCTTCACACAGCTTCTAGTTGTGTTAACATTTTACCTCGGAGGCTTTATAGGTATCTGGGAAAAAAAATAAAAAATTGGCAACCCTGTGAACTAACCTCCAATGGATATTAAAATCTGCCATTTTTATTTAATTTACCCGACCTCATAAGGCTCATACCTCCTATTTCGGAGATAGCAATAATGGTATCACTACTATCACTTAAAACGGACAGATAATTTGGCATCTGTGAATATGTCTGAACATTTCTCTCTGAGATTTTTTACATTGGTTAGACCAGACATACTTTTTCAATGGTTGATATGTATTATGAGGTTCATAGGTTGTAGTATTTTCTTTCAGTTTAGTAATACTCTTGTCACCAGTTCAGGCAGTTCAGTACTTTCGCCTGGTATGGGGCCCAGCGGGGCCCCCAAGATCACAGGCCCCCCCCCCCCCCCCGCTACTGCGGGCCCTTAGTTGCGCCACTGTCGTGACCGTTCCATTATTATTATTTTTATCAATAAAAATATAACTTAATTCCCAAGGTAGGGAAAACTGTCAAACTTGACTATGGCCACTGACAATATTGGTTGTTATATAGAACTTTTTGTTTTTTTAGACCACCTACAATGCCTCGGGTACTGATCAGCCGATATTAACATTTTATCTGTTAGGTACTTACGCAAAAAAATTCAAAAAAAAGCTTGCTTATTGCAAGTATAAAAATTTGAACGCATTATTAGGCTGTTCCAATTAGAGTTTCCGGATGGTTTTTTCAATTCCAACGAAATGCCAACTAGGGAACATTTAATACTTTATAGCAATAAGTAACATGAACATTGACTTATTGCAAACACGGTTTGAAGGTAAACTTCTTTCAAGAAATGGGGATGTTAATTGGCCGAACAATTCAAGAGTTGAAAGATGAGATTCGGCGCATTATTCGGGAGATATCACCGGAAATGTGCACAAATGTGATCAAAAATTTTGGCAAAAGAATTGTGTGCTGTGAGAGAAGTCGTGGTGGCCATTTGTTAGATATTGCGTTTCACGTATAATTGTAAACGATCATATCACTTATTGCTATAAAGTGTTAAAATTTTCTAGTTTCCTTTCCGTTTGAATTGAGAAAAAAATCCGGAAACTCTTATCAGAACACCCTATATATTTTTGTATGACCCTGTATAATATGTTCTAAGTGTGTTTTCGCATGCGCCATTCTTGTAGTGATTGTTTTGAAAAGAAATAATAACGTCAATAGCTATATTTTACATAAAAACGTATAACTCATGATAAAATCGTAGTCGGCTGCGATATTCAAAAAATCTCAAAAATCGCCCGAGGTACTAAGGTACTCTTCTAAACTGAATACCAAAAATCTACTTAACCCTCCCTCCCGCAGAATGGGGTGAATATCGAAAAAAAAAATCGCCAACTTATGTTTGACCCTGTATCTTTTAGCAGGTGGCCGGAAATCTGTTAAGAACTGGAAATTAAATAGCAATTAGAGCATCCTTTCACTCCTGAAAATTTGAACAAAATCGGCCTGCTAGATTTTGAGTTATAGGTAGCCTTTCAAAAAGTGACCAAAAATTGGGGTGTTCGAGTTCGATTGACGCATAGATTATATAGATTGTATTCATTGAGCGGTATTTCCATGTATCTGCATTTGTTTTTCCATCCCTTAAGCGCTTGTTCGAAGTATATTTTAAAAAGTGTTGGTGATTTGCAGCATCCCTGTTTAAGTCCTTTAGTTGCTATAAAGCCTTTACTGATTATGTTTCCCTGTTTAATCTTGGTCTTTGCATCACTATAGAGCGTTTTTACTGCCTTTATTAGTTCTAAGTTGATATTGGTCTTTTCCAGTGCTTCACAAAGCTTTTTCAGCGGAACATTGTCATATGCTTTCTTTAGATCTACAAAGAGTAAATGGAGTTCTTGGTTATACGCTAGTTTCTTTTCCATTATCTGGGTCAAACTAAATAAATGGTCTACAGTTGATCTTCCTGTTCTGAAACCGGCCTGTTCTTCTGCCTCACTACCTTTGTACTCGTTCCCTATTCTGGCTTTTATGAGTATTTCATACACTCTGCTCAGTGTATTTGTTACTGCAATTCCTCGGTGGTTCTCGCATTTGTTTTTATCTCCTTTCTTATATATCGTTGTTAAATAGCTTATTTTCCACTCTTCCGGTACTTCATGTTTACCTATGCATGTTTGAAATAGTTTCGTTAAATGTTTGTAGATTTTATTGGTCCCATACTTTATCAGTTCTCCATATATTTCTCCTGGGCCTGGTGCCCTACCGTTTTTCAAGAAGCTACAGTGTTTTTTAACTTCTTCTTGCATAACTCTTATTGGTGATCCTGCAGTTTTTATGTTTCGTGTCTGTTCCTTTTCTTCTTTAAACTCTGCCCGCTGTTCTGTCAGTAATTCTTCAAAGTAGGTACTCTTCCCATGGACCATTATTATCTCATGTTAAAATATTTGTACTCATACCTGATTCACCCTGTATTAAGACAAATTGTTTACAAAATCACCAGAGTAAAATCAATTAAATTAGTATTGTTTTGAAAATCTTTTTCGACAACTTTATCACGCTGCAAAATTTTTAAAGCTCCTCTGAGTTTTTGTTGGATGTTTTATTCTGTTGATGTTGCATTGTGTGTGTATTGCGCAATTACAATAAATAATAAAGTTTGACGACAAAAAACTTTAAGAATAATAATTATTTCCCTATATGATGATTGTAAAAACTAATTGGAACGTCAGCAATATTTGATAGATTGTCAGTACATAAAAACGGTATCCAAAAAGCTCACAAGAATCATTTCAACGTATGTTTTGCCGATTGGCGTGTGTACCTAATAATAGATCACGTCAACAATTACCAAACTCCTACGTCAGTGCAAACAACAAAAGTTGATGTTAAACAACATCAACTTATAAACAAATAAGTATCATCACCGGAAACAAATCCAATCAATTATGATATCGCCAACGATGTCCAAAGGCTTCTTGGTCTGTAATTAGCTCCCACCAGCGGGGGTGCGCATCAATCCCAATGTATATAAATTGAGGATTTTCAATTGATAACTCCACTCGCTTCCATAACTTCCTACAGTGAACTTCTCTGTAGGATCGCAAATCCATTTGAAGTCGAATTTTCAAAAACGAAAACAAATACGATGCGTCAAATTGTTATATTTGTCGCTTTGATTTTTATCAGTTTTTGCGCCGCTCAAGTTAATTTTTCGCCGAATTGGGGAAAAAGAGCGCTCAACAATCCACCCGCTGAAGAAAATGACAACAACGGCTGCAAGGAGTCTGTGGATACCCTTATTTTTATTTACAAAATTATACAGGTAAGTTTTTTAATAATATGATCTTTCTATAAAAACATTAATTTGCTCATTGAAAACATTTTATAAAAAACTGTTTCATACCTACCTAATATCGAAAAAAAAAAACTTGTGGTTTTTCATACATGCAATTTCAATTACATAGTTATACATTATTAAAAAAAGCATTATGGATTATGGATTTATCATGTTAAAAAAAATATATTTCTTCTTCAATCTTTTGCTTAGGCGTATAAAAAGCCACAAATTGAGATTCCTATGTAATTTGGCAATGTCAATTTTTTTTTTCTTCAAAAGTTGATGTTAATTTAGTTATAAAGATTACTTATTTTTGTAAGAAAAATAGGTAGGTAGTATTTTAGTGAGAAATTACGACCAAAATTATGAAATATCTACCAACTAAGATAATCATCGGGTTCCTATAGTTTGTTTTTTCAAATTAAAATTAGTACATTATTTTGACATGACTTTTTCAATTTGAAATATTGACAAAAAAATATTTTGAATCTAGTTTTGAAAATATAAAAATATATTAACAAATTATCCTCTGAAAATCAACCCCAGCGTTTTTAATTTCTTTCCAAATATTTTTATATTTCTGGATAGCGTGTTAAATTACCAATTAATGAGATAAGATTGATTTTTTTTTTGACAATAATGTGAACATAAATAAATATTTGCAACAATTAATGTCAATTTCTTACAATAAGAACGTAGAAAGTGTTTGGAATAAGAAATAGGATCTCCATATAAAGACAATGTGTGAGAAAAACCATCTCTGCCTATATAAATTCGTTCCCTTACTTAGACTCGCACCTCCACAAAAAAAAAATGGAGTGGTTTTCAGGGGTGAATTCTCATATATTTTCGAAAATCGCTCAACTCCGCATCTTTTCGATCAATTTTTCATCGTTCAAAATAATAAAATAAAGTCGAGCTTTGTATTGCTAATTTTGAAATGTAGGTAGGTAGTTTCTTTCCAATTTTAGTCATTTTGTACGCCTTTATATATCTACACGTTTACCAATATACAGTTATATTGACAAAGGAAAAACAAAATTGTTTTCCAAAGTCTGTACCTGGAACAGAAAATTATTTTATTTTCAATTAAATTCTAGTTTCATATGTGAATATTAATTATGTTTGATTAGAAAATATTAATTGCAATTGCGAAAACGAAACCTAGACATGTGAATTTCAGAAAATAATGAACGGGTAAATTAATGTTCTAGCATTTGATTGTCTTTAGTGAAACCTAAAAATATCTGGTAGAAATAATGTCGTGCTTAAATAGTTTCATTAACTATAACCGTTATATTAAACATGGAATATTACATCAGTATACCCAAATTGTAGAAAAAGCTCTTGCAAAGTTTAGCAATCCATGCAGATAATTTCTTTTCTGCTGCGATCTTGTAAATCAAAATATACAAAATGTATGTAATGTGAACTGAGAATATGTTTCCAGTTTTGTCTGCCAAAAGTCGTTTGGCTAAGATGTATAATGTATTCAATTATTTTTATTTATATGAAGGCCATTTAGTCATAGCAAAGCTATACCGCCGAAATAAAAATAATTTAATTCATGGCTTTCATTTGGCTCAATTCAAAGACACAATATCAACATCACAAATTACTGATCGATGGATGGGAAAATTTCAATTTCGAATTTGCGTCGAACAAAAACATTTTTATAAAGTAGTGTTTACGGAACGGCCGCTTACGTAAATGTTTGCACATGCAAATCTGAATAACTGAATCATCGTTCGTGAGAGGGTCGTAATTTTTGCATATCTCACACATTTGTTTAATTCCTTTTTTTATCATATTATACGTTTCTTTTTGTTTCAGAGTGAGGCACAGAAACTCCTGGAATGCGAAAAATTGTCCAACTAGACGACAAGCCTGACTAACATTTGATTATGGAAAAGTTTGCTTTCCTTCCTTTTATTAGTTAACTTTTTTAAATAAAGCAAATCAATGCTCCCTTATGGTTTTATTTGGTTTGTGCTATTCCACTTTAATTAAGTCACTGTAATAAGGATAATTCAATAAACATAATATGCATTACATGTGGAGAAAAATATTTTTATTTAGTTTATGATTTTCTTTATCATTCCTTGAAACATATTTTCTTCATAAAGGAAAGATTTCATTTAGTCGTATGACTTGATGTATGTAGGTACATTATAAAATGCTTGAAGAACCACGGATTTAATTGAAAAGTCGGTTTGTGGCTTATTTGAACTTCTCAAGGCTAAAAAACATACCTGGTCGGGACTCTGTAACGGATAGAGATCGTTCTCCCCATCGCTATGGCACTTGCTATCTTCGAAATCAATAGAGAGGGAACGTCAATAGAGATAGAGAAAATATCTTATTCGTTACAGAGTCCCAGCACTGCTGTATCTAAGGCCTTGCGTCCCTCTAGAAGCTTCCTACCCTGAAATTCCAGTTATCGCAATAGTCTGTGAACCGCAAATATAGTACAGATTTTGTATCTTCACAGTTGAAGGACAATAACAAAATAGGATTGGATCAAGTATCAATACCTACCTGCAGCACACTTATGCCTAGAAGTAGTGGGCTTTCCAGTTCAATCCAGAGTAAATTCAAAATCATGATAACAAATTTCACAAGTGAATAAAGTCGAACTACTTATCACTAACCAAAGACAATTAATGAAAATGTAGTAGCACCGAACTACCAAAACGACAGGATTTGACGAGGAATCATTGATATAATAAATTAGTCCCTACATCAAATGCATCTATTTTTTAATCAGGAATGTTTTTCGATTAGTTTTGATAATCTTTACGCTGAAACATTCCTTTTCAATAACAGGTAGCAATTTTTCAATTTTTTAGTCCAATAACATAAGGTAATTAGTACTAATTTTATGTTCTGTATGCAAGAATGCCATTTGCAATTGCGGATATTAAAAGAATGTGTATACGTCTTGGATTTTTTGAAAAACTTTGTCCTTATTTCCGTATATGCAGGCATGCAAATAAACAATATAGACCCGTCAAAGTCAATAGATTTTTTAAACAAATCCCTGAACTTACTCATGAATTGGGAAGTTCACGTACAAGCGAAAAACTAGCTGGTTCAAATGTATTTTCTATTCCATAAAATAGCTTTTTCTCCATCAAACTTCAAGTTTCGGAAATAATGGATCCGGCTAATTTCATTTTGCATTCATAGTGAACAATTCCCAAAAAAAAAACCTTTAACAAAAATTTTGCGCAGTCTATTTTATCACCTGGAGTCGAACTGCATATAAATGAGTAGTTGTTCTTGTAATGTTCAGGGATGGACGAGAAATGTTTGGTGCAATATTGGCCTTGCCCGGACACTGACATGCGTTAGCGTCGATTAGCTTAAAGTTAAATTAATTTCCGTTTCAGTACCTATATATTTATGGACTTTTAACAATTTTGTATCAATACTTGTTTGAATCTCTAGACAATATCAGTGACCTAAACTACAAACGAGATACTTGCAACAGTAAGTGACGAACAGCGGACATAGAGTAGCAAAAGAACTAGAGACCCTAGGATCAAAAAATATAGGTCACTATTACAGCTTCTAGTTAGCAAGGCTAGACGAATATTTATTTTCCCTGCAGGTTTTCAATTTCTTATTGAAAATACGCCTATTTATTTTTTTACAGTAAAAAATCCTGAATGCTGTCGCTGAGGAATCGAAAAATCTTCAGCATCAAAAGAAGTACGCCCGGAGGTAAATGGCAGTTTTGCTACGCGAGGACATGCGAGACCATACGAGGTCATATTATATTATCTTCCAACTGGGTCTCCCAAAGAGGTGAAAACAGTCTGTTGTTTACAATCTCTGCTGAGTGGCCAATACTTTTGTACAGCAGATCGTACGACTTACTTCGGCTACAAACGTTAAAATGTATTCGGAAAATCTAGTTGTAAGTAGTAGTATATTGGTTGTTAAGTGTTATTTGTTAACAAGTGTCTAGTGCCCAGTTAGTTAGATGTGACGTGAGCCCGCGTGTTCATTAATTTTTGTTAACAGGAATACCGTTACCAACATGCCTTGCCTTATAAACTCATTGCACGAAGACCGCTAGTTTAAAAATATTTTATTTTCGTCGCACGAATTTTATTCTTTTGTAACAATGATGCACCCTTAAAATCAAACCTTTAAAAACAATTTTAGCAACAAAATTGGTAGTGAATGTTCGATAAAATTAAAACGTTCTAAATTCCTGCGGTATTTATGTCATCGATTGCATTTGTCGACCAAACGAACCATTAACCATTTCAGCGGTAAGAATTTATTGCATTAACCAATGCATTTGAACAATAAACATTAGATATTCGAGTTGCTATTTTTCTTTAAATGCAAAATCACAGCAGTGAAAGGGCGCAAATAGTTAATTACATAAATATTAACAACATTCTTTCGCATACCTATAGCTGCTCATAACCTTATGTTATGAGTTTTGTAATGTAAATTTGAGTGCATAAACATTTAATGAAACGAATAAATAGCAATAAACGACCATAGTTAACTTCAGCATCAATATAATATGTTAATTATTATAATAATGTCAAACTCAATATCTTCAATAATCTCAATGTATAAGGTTGCATGCAGCTTATAGGTCAACCTGTTAGAAACACATACCCAAGAATTTCAAATCTTCCAAAGACGAGTATATACCTAAACTTTATAGACAAGAAATAAGAGAAAATGCATACTTAGAACGGAGAAAGGAAGATATACCATCAAATAATTGATGCCATTTATATGTTTTAACGATAATCTTAGAAATTTTCACACTTGGCGCCTGGACAATTTCGACAAATATTAAATATCATCAAACGCCAGAAAGTGTTAAAATAACTACATAAATGATGACTGATGGATCTGTGATTTAGATTTGGTTTTACATAAGTGAATACATACAGGGTGTCTTCGAATAGAGTCACACCTCTAACCCAAATTGAGTTTTTTCTCGAAAAAAACTCGTATAGTATACCCAAGACATTATCAAAAATAGACACTTGATGCCTTTCCTAAAATAATAAAATCAAAATAACACAAAGTTGTAAGTAGTTGTATATCTGATCCTCATATTTTCTCAAGTTTCTAAATCCTAAATTGGCAAGTCCCGCTTTAGCAATATTCTCGTCCGACATTGATTTGCATTCGATTAACATTTAAAATAAAATTTTGTAAGGCAAAATAATTGGATGGATATTTTTTTAGCTCAAGCGTCCGCATTTTTATTGTGATGAATTAACAATGGAAGGTTCCATGCAAAATTTAATTTATTCTAGTTGAATTAAATGACCTCATCTAACTGTTCAGTGTTCTGTATTGAAATACTTGATGAAATGATAACACCAAACAAGTTTGTAAGTACCTACATCCAATTTTTTTTTTTGTTAGGTTTGGAGACCTTAAAATAACTACTCTGGCCGATGCATTATTCTAGTGCATTATTAAACCAAATATAATTATTGCTGTGAATTGTTGCCCCAATCGGTGCTACACGTCACTAGCTTTTGCAAAAGCGACACATTTTGATGTAATTATTATTATTGAGGATATAAACTCCTTTGGTCAATCCCTAACTAATATTATAAATGCGAATGTGAGTTGTGAGTTTGTTTGTTTGCTTGCTACGCTTTCCTGACTAAACTACTAACCTATCATGAAATTTTGTACAAATATTTTCAAGCGTATAGTAAGTCTAAAGACCATAGGACACTTTTCATGAAAAATAACAATATTGAAAAAAAAAAAAAAAAAATTAATTAATTATAAACAAACTCATTCGCATTCATAATTCAACTTTTGGAGTGCGTTCAAAAAACAACTTTTAGAGTGCGTTAAAAAAAGGGGTAAATTTTACCAACGGGTGAGAGTGGGTATGGACACGAGATCAGGGCCAGGATAAACATTGCAACTGGATAAATTATTTCCTGGAATTCACTGCCCTCAGAAGAGTAAATTTTTTCTGGTGTGTTTTCAAACGCACCATGAACTTTTTTTTTATATTAACATGAAACAACGTTGCCACATTTATTTAAGTTGGCGCATTCAACCGACGTAACTGCATTATTTTTTATTTTATTGAAAAAATATAGAAATTCAAATTTTTTATTAGAAAATATAAAAATTCAAATAAAATAAAGCTGAAGAGTTTGTTTGTGCGCTAATATCTGGAACTGCCACTGACTCATTCACTCACTCACTCATTACGAGATCTCCAACTATACGTCCGATTGACTCGAAATTTGAAGTAGGTACTCTTTTCTCGACGTGGACCCCCACTAAGAACGGACTTTACGGAACTCCTATCGAAAGAGGATTTGTCACACCAAAAAAAATCTTTCAAAAATTCCAATAATCCGATTTCTTTCAAATTAAACGGCGAATGAAACCGCGGGGAACAGCTAGTTTTCTATAAACTCAAATTATGAATCAAATGCAATAATGCAGAATTGTTATTTTGAATACCGTTAGGTTATTTTTGATTTATTTTGGCATTAGAAGCTGCATAATTTTCTGGGCTTATTGGCCGTAGTCTAAAATTGTAAAAAATTATTCTAACATTGCCACCAATGTTACTGAGCCTTATTTTGATAATATTGATAACGAATTTAAGAATTTAAGCTCATCGTTAAAATCAAGTTATAACTAAATCGACTCTTGAGCATCTCTTGACATTCAAAACGACATGAAATGTTCCATTCTGGGCGTCAACATACAACTAGTAGATTTGTTTGTTTCTTCCTTATTCGTTCACCTTGATGTTTCCACATTACATAATGCAATAAATTATTACAAAGAATTAACAAGTTAGGACCCAATCATCCGTGTCCTTTATGGGTATTGAATTTATGGAACGTTAGTCTTTGGAAATTATATTAGCTCATGTTTCAGTTACATTTTTGAGTTCAGAAAAAAAAAATATTGTCACGGATTCCGTGTTCACAGAACAAATCTCGTATTCAAAACTGACTACCACAACACCCCTTATTTAAACTGACTTCAAAAAGGCTATTTTTTAGACTGACTACTTATACACACGCTATTTACAGACGGCATTGCACTACGAATGTATCTAGAAGTGCTTACTGCAACAAAAGGCCAGGAATAATCGCGCTAGACGTAAACAACTCGATTCCTAGAATCTGGCCCGGCTCTCGATGCTATTTCGTTACAATATGTAGGTAATATAAATTGAATCATGAAAAAAAATATTTGCGAAATGCGGATAAAAATTGTACATATGGGTTTAGAAAATACAAATGAAGATGAGGAGTTATGTCATAAAATAAATAATATAAACAGGGATTTTCGATTCCATTTCAAATATTTTTATTATTAATATCTGTAGCACCACTCTAGATATTTTATTGAAATTTGGCATATTTACATGTACTATGTATCAACAGGCATTTTTTAATGTACCACATTTTTTTATATCCATTTATGGCGCTCACGAAATTTGACCTGCTCATATTGGCAGACATTGATGGTACCCCACTGATTTCTTCTAAAATAAAAATAATTCATGAAATGAAATCCCCAATCATTTCCAAGCAAAGTTAATCACTTAATTTTTTACAACCCGATTTGCTTGAAAAAATAAAAACCGTTTCTCTGCATGATCATAACATTATATCGTTAATATAATATGACACAGGTGAGTCGGATTTTAAAAAATCAAGTGATCAACTTTGCTTAGAAATAATGGGCTCTTTCACTAAAATTTAAATACGTAATTTAGGTATAAAATCCCAAAGGAGGGACTATTTTAGGCACATATACCAAAAAAAAATGTTCTACAAGGTTAAATAAGTTTTTTACAGGCATTTTAAACTACCAAAATTTGAATTATTTAAAAACGCGCCGATTTGCTGACGTCGCATAAATATTTTTCATTTCGCTTGTTGTTGCAAAGAGCTGTCCGCCTCTGCTGTATTTTCCTGTAGTAAATGCAGGTAAAGGTTCGAATGCGCTGTTGTCGGTGGTGACTAAATGTAGTGCAACGTAAAATAAATAAATAAAACTAAACATAGAAAATTATATTAAATTGTGTTTAAGCATAATTTCAATAAAAATGTTATAAAATCTTGAATCCATAACTAATTAATTTAACTACTTTTCATGATATTTTGGGAACATTTCAGAATTAAATCTATTACAAATTTTCAATGTTGACAATTAGTGGCAACACGGTCAAATAGCGAGCTGCGACGTCATAGAAATAAATTCTGGGTTTTTATTTGGAGGTATTTCTTTTTTTTCTGTTTTCTCAAGAAGGACTATGAATTTTTCAAAAGTAAAAATACAGAAAATTCTGTTTTTAGTTGCTTTATCCAAATATGCCAATTTCAAAAATTAGTGAAAGAGCCCATTGTGTAAAAAAAAAAAACTAAAAATAAGAGAAATCAGTGGCGTACCTACCATCAATGTCTGCCAAAAAACATGCGGTACATTAAAAAATGCCTCTTGATACGTCATAGTACATGTATGCCAAAGTTTATTAAAATATCTAAAGTGGTGTTACAGGTATTAATAATAAATGATTTATTTTTGAAATCTTTATCACCCTGTATCCCAAAAGTTAAGACGTTCAGGACATGTTCATATGAATTAAAATGGACCCGAAAATCGCCTTCTTGAGTATTGGCATTCAATTAGAAAACACATTGTATATATTTTTTTTAATTAAAAAAAGTTCAAAATCATTACTTGAAAGAAGAAAAAGAAAACATTTAAAAAAGTAATTGCGCAAGAACAATGAAAAAAATTGGGTTTCCAAAAAAACAAAAAATTGTACTTACAGAATTTCGAAAATGTTTCCCCGTTCTACAGGCTGTCAGGAAGCTGTAAGCAAATTAGGGTAGGAAAACAAGATACCCCACCCCAATGTATACACCGAGG